GGGGGGGGGGGGTTACCTTGGTTGGTGATTGGCTAATGGTTACACAAGCCAGAACATTGTTATGACATCATAAAGTGGCCAAATTCTGATCAGCTCATTTTCAGACAGGTTTTTATAGAAATGGATCAGGACAAAAAGAGAGAGAATCTTTTTTCCTGAAACTTTCAGAATCTCTTTACACAGAGGGGACACATGTGTATGTACAAAAGACATTTGAGTTACTACGATGAGAGTTTAAAACTACTTAAATCTTCCAGCCTCTAAGCCCAGGTACAAGCTTCTTCTAAATGTACATGTTAGTGTTTTTATACACAACAGTGTGCCCAACATTCAAACATCATTTTCATACACTTATACATTTTACTGCAATGTGAATTGCCACAAAAAGTTACCCCATTAATTAGGATATTCAACATTATGAAAAAAATCTACATTAACATCAAACTGTTTTGAAGGCCCACATATCTGCATAGTTTTTTGGGGGGGTTAGTTAAACCCTTAGAATGACGTACTTCAGAAAGTACAGTTTGTCAAAGTTACCTTTTAGTTGCTGGGGGTCCGATAGCTGCATGTAGACCTGCAGCCTCCTCCTGAAGCAGGAGACAAAGCATTCATCACTTAAAACAGCAGCTATCAGTCGGTGTGGCTTCATGAAGAAGTTCCAAATAGGTAAATCTATCTAGCTTTTCAATATAAAACTTTAAAGTGGTAGAAGAAGTAACAGAGTAACAGTTTCACAACTTACTATAATGTAACTTCCTTGTTTTTCTCTTGTAATTGAATATTTCAAAAATGTAGTATTATGCCTTAACAGCAACCACAATGCTTGTTTTTATTTTACATTCATATTTGAAAACGGATGACCTAATGTTAGTGTTAGCCTGTGATGGAGGTGTTACTGTGCATCACTGCTCTCAGTCAGACATTGTGGAGATTGTAAGTAAAGATAAAATGATCATACCTTCTGCAGCGTTCCCAGACCAATGCTGTCCGTCCCTGTGCCGGAGGAGCAGGTTTCCTGGGAGACAGTCAGTGAACACACCATCAGATACGAGGGCTTTCATCAGAGGAAAGTTACCGTACTTTACCTCTGAGAGCATCGCAGAGGAATGTCCAACATGAACACTAGTGACGTACATTTAGAGTAAGTGTGCAGATATTTAAAATAGACTTGGTGCAGTGATAACATTATTGTTTATACACGTGACTACCAATTAATTTTTATTTAGGAATAGTAGGCTACATAAACTGTCAATTGTCAACAAATGGCACACTCTATCTATGGTCCTGTTTTTACAATATTATCACTTGCACATTTTAATAGAAAAGTGTCAGCTCATGGTTTAAAAGACACTATCACAGCCCCCCCACAGTCAGATCAGAGTGAGATGAACAGTGGGCCTCACCAGTGTGCCCTGCAGCGTGCTCAGGTGAGCGGCCACCTGTCGGAGCAGCAGCTGCAGCTTGTTCCCGATGACGTGGACCTTCTCCTTGGCCTCCACGCTGTCCTCTCTGCTGTCCTCTCTGCTGTCCTCCAGCAGCAGCTGAGAGGAGATCTCCTGCAGGGAGGAGACCTGCCGCTGGCGGCCGCACAGCTCCTCCTGCAGAGCCTGGGGGGGGGGAGGGGGTTGGGGGGGGGGTGTAGTGAAATCATGACAAAGTGTACATGTGCAATGTGTTTCCTGTTTTGATGAAGTGTATAAGCTAGTGAGGGAACTGTAACAAATGTATCAAGCAGATTAAAGTTAGGTTGAAATATATTTTCTAATACCAACCCTTTCATTAGAAGTAAATGTAATGTTCTCTTGTCTCATTATCTAGTAGCGCGACGGTATTTCAAGTAAAGGATTTGTTTGTGACACTCCGGGTGAAAATCTAAAAATGTAAGATCCAACATAACCAAGGCAACAAGTCGAACTTATATATTACACAAATAAAGACAAAACTGTGGCAAAAAAAACCTCATGAACTCCAAATGTCTTGGAATCACTTTAGAAATGTTTTTTTGGGCGAGACAAGATAAAACAGAAATGTCATGGCAGGGGTGATGAAAGGATTCTCTGCTCACCGTCAGGGTGTCCCGGTGCTCCAGCAGGACGGAGCGTGGCGCCGAGGCGTCGCTGACATTCACAGCGTTCAGTTTGTTCTCCGCCTGAGCGAGCCACAGCAGCAGGGAGTGCAGCGTCTCATGGAACTCCTGCAGGAGAAGAGCTGAGTCAGAGGGGTAGAGGTGCTTGCCTTCTGGGCATTCGTTGGAGCATTTCCTGAACCACACTACTTTACATTCTGTATTCTCTGATGTCAGAGTGTCTCCATGTCTGACCTGACACTGCATGAGAGCAGCGTGCAGCCTCCTCTCCCAGCTCTCCAGCCCGCTGCAGGCCTGAGGCCAGCTGCTGTTGGCAGAGCTCATGGCTTCCTGCAGCTCCTGCAGCTCGGCGCTGTCGCCACACAGGAAGTGACGGCTGCTCAGGTTGGTGGAGATCATCAGACACTTGTAGCTGTTGAAGGACTTCTGCATCTCCTACAAGACCGAACAGATGATTACATGATTACCCTCCATCATTTAGAAGGTTTATGCGATTATACGGTGTTGTCTGTGTTCTACCTTTAGTTTCCGGATGTTCACTTCAATGTCTCGGACGCTGGTGGCCGGTGCGATCCTCTGCAGCCTCTCTAGCTCTGGCAGCACCCGGCCCAACCAGGAAGTGACATCACAGAGGTCAGTGTTCAGCTTCTGCCACTGCTCCAGGTCCTGCTTGATGTCCGTCTCGTTGTTGAGCTTCTGTACCTGAAGCAGCTCCCAGCGCTCGATCACACCTGCAGAGACACGAGAGACACGTTCTTAACACTGCTGTAAAAACACTGTGCCTTATTGTTCACTGTAGTGCGGTCCTGAAGCATTAGCACGATGACTTTTTATATGAATTCATTTCAACCTAGATTTAGTGTTACTGAATGAGCATTTGAGCATTAAACTGTTTATTTGAGTTTTTCCTACAATTTATAATGTAACTGTTTGTTATTAAGAGCTCCATGAACAAACACAATCATTAGCATTTATAAAGCATTTGTTTGAAAACCAAAACAAACTAGACAATTACAAAGAATATCATCAGCCTCGACAACATTTTCATTTTTTATTCCCAAAAGTGGTGATTTGCTGAATTTCTCCATTTTATATCATTTCGATTAATATCTTTGAGTTTTGGACTCTTCGTTGAATAAAGGAAGTACCCTGTATATGTCTAGGATAATAATCGCTTAATCAAAAAGTTAAGAAGAAAAATAAGTAGAAAGTCTAAATTGCCAGACTTTCTTACATCTTGTGCCAGTGGGGTATAAAACCCAATTCACAAAAAAATAATCACATTTCCCTGAAAGAAATCCAGCAGAGTGACACCTCCCTCTCTGTTGTGTATCTCTGTACCTGTGCTGGTCTGCTTGTCGGCCGTGCTGACCGTCAGACCCTGATCCACCGGCTCCTCTTCATCGTTCAGGATCAGCTTCACTCTCTTCACCGTGTTGATGCTGCCGCTGCACTCCGACATCAGCTTAGCCTGCACACACACACACACACACACACACACACACACACACACACACACACACACACACACACACACACAGCATAAAACACTTCAACTTAAAACACTGATCAAAACAAATGAAACCTAAATTCCTGAGATGATGGCGCTTAGATCTTAATGTGTGTGTCCTCACGTAGCCCTGCTGGTGGAAGGGAGTGCTGGAGGTGTGTGAAGGAGACGCGCTCAGGCCTCGGATCATTTCTCTGGGAACTCGTTTCCTTTCAGGTGAGACGGGCTGGTGCCAGCTGGGGGGGTCGCTCACTGACTTCCCTACGGAGAAAAAGGAGAAGACAGTTAAGTAAATGAAGAGTGAAAACTAATGAGGGAATGTATGGAGGGGCAAAACCAAAGAAAGAGAAAACAGAGTAATAAGGATTCATCACACAGTCTTCTAATACATGCATACGACTCAGGTATAAATCATATGCATGCGTACACAGCATTATAAGATGGGAAAACAAATGGAATGAAGAGTAAAATACATGAATTTCCACATCAGGCAAGTTTCCTTTTTTCTCTTACAAAGATTTGATCTTGGTAAGCAAAACAATTTCTTTAAAGGGAATGAGAAGCTGTAGCTCAGCACAGCAACAACGTGTGATAATGGGGATGTGGGTCCATAAGCAGACAGACAGCAGGGGCATGCAGGAGGCGGAGCCTACCCGAGGCAGCGTTCACTGCTCTGACAGTCGCTTTAACCAAAGACTCTGAGCTCTTTGTGACCTGCACATCTGTAACAGAGAGCGAAAGGGGCAAAATATATAAGAGCAGCTGAGACGTTGAGAAGAGAACATCTGTGTGGTTGAACTGAAGAATAAGACATTCTGATCATTTTTAGGTTCATATTAGTATTAAGTGCCTCTTCTGGGACATGTCTCCATGCTTTAATGTTCAAAAAGCTCTTTATTTTTCTCATACTGCCTATGCTGCTGAACCTCTTTTCACCCTCTGTCTGAAACCAGAGCCCAGTCTGCTCTGATTGGTTAGATCTCTGTTGTTATTGGTCAACCACTTAGAGATGTCCCGCCCCTTAGCCTATCACGTACAATGTGTTGGAGCACTACTCAATAGAAGCGTGTGTGACATAGTGATGCCAGAAGTAGTCAAATGGGGGTGTTTCAGGG